AATATGAAAGGGAGTAGTTTTTTTAAAAAGTTATATTCTGAAAAGGAGAAGGAGAAGTATTGCTAAATCCTATTTCTTAATTGTTACTCTTGCTCTGGAAATATTCCCTGTTCCTGAGTAATCTATCCTAGTAAATTTATTTAAACAGTACTGCTTATTTAAATAACAAATGTAGTTGGTACTTAAATGATCTGTCTGTTTTGAAGTAGTACCCAGTTTCCATTTAATGTAATTGTTATATTTAATCGTAGAAGGAACTGATGTATGCCATGTGACAGATTCATTCATTGCTTGGTGTCACGCAGGAAACACAAGTCAGCCAGTAATATGGGTCCCTTGGGGCAATTCTGTGGCCTCACTGAAAATGCAAAGCACGTGAAACAGCAACATAAAAATTACACAGTGCTCCAAGCTACTGTTCGGGCCCTTGGAGTTCTCTAGTGTACTCCGAGAGTAATTTCATGCGTTTTATACTTCTGTTGTAACTCCTTAGTCCAGTTCAGAATCAATTCTTGTTGAAAACTCCACAACAAAACCCAAAAGCAGAAACCCAACAACAAATGCTGACTGTATGATGAGCAATTTTCCTGCTGCTGCCAGTGCCACAGGGCTCTTCTACCACTTCCTTTGGTACTGGAAACCTAGAAACAAATTACGTAGGCCAAGAGTATGTGTATCTGTTGTTGTTGGGCAAGTAATTATGCCATAATAGAGAGCAATAGCTTTAAAGTTTTATTTATCTGGGAAGATAATACATGGGTTTTATGGTGGTTAAGATTTAATAAATTCATCATTTGAGTTGGGAGAATAGTCTTACCCATTACAAAAAGGAAGCAACCTCACTGACTTCTCTGCAGACAGTGACTGGCAGTGCAGTTAGACTCTTAGAAGTGTATTCTCTCCGCCCTTTAGGTTTGCAGGTTATTTGTTTTACTGAGTAAACAAATACTGTGGTGTAGTAGAGATACTCGATTCTGTTGGAAAGGCTGATCTAACCTGTTGTTTTTCTTCCAAAGGTGGGAGTATAGAAGTGGTTTTCAGTTATCTGTTGGACTTCCTGAATAATTCTAAGTTGTAAGGTACAGGACTGTACATGACTCTTGATTTTCTTGCCCCCAGTTCTTTGGAATGCTCGTGGCTGTAGAGCTCTTCAGACATATGGCTAAATGAAGTGTGGGTGACGGGGTACAGCGATGGCTTCTCTCCTTTATAGATCATCTCATAGAGAAGACTGCGCCTGTTATTTATTATTGTAACATTTCATTTCTGTCTCGTCAGTCTGTGTCATATATGAAAGCTACTGGTAGCAGTATTTTTTAGCAGATAATTCTCACCCGACGATATATCATTATAACCTTCGCACATCACATCTTTTAGAAAACAGTTTGAAATTCACAGCAGTGCCTTGTAACTCTGAGTGATGACAACATATATATTATTACTAACATGTTTTTCTCAGTACTGTGCACCAACAGAAAAGTGTTGGGTAGAATGCATCACCCTCCATTATGTACCATAAATCCCACAAATCGTGTAATGCATCTTCTGCTTGTTTGCTTTGAGGACGCACTGGGTGATCCTTACCACATTCTTCCCTGTTTTCATGATAGCCATTTAGCATTTTCTGCTCTCTGTAGCTTTGCTGGGAGGATGGAGGGCGAGAAATCAGCCTGGAAGGTGCAGTGTGCCAGTGGAGAATTAACAATTCGCCTGGTTTTGCAACACAAGGCCTGTTTTGTTCTCTCCCTTCTCCCTGTGCCCTCCCCCAACCCCTCCCTGGGTTGCTGAGAGACTGACTGTCTCCAGCAAGTCCAGAGCTGGAAAGGATGGAAGCTCACAACCATATTATATATGCCACAGATCAAAATCAGAGTGTCAAAACATGAAAATACCTCAATAGTTTTCTTTTTAACTGTCAGCCTCGAGTTCCCACTTGCTCTCGAGCCTCTGTGCATACTGTGTGCCAGCTCGTTTCTACTTACGCTCTTATTAAAGTGTAAAGCAACAAATTTCCTGGCAGTCTCTGCAAAGTAGTATTTTTGAAATAACTTTCATTACACGAAGGTGCTGAACATAATGGGCCTTCTTAACAGCTGCAGTAAGTGATGTGAAGCTATTAACATCTTTTCAAAACAAGTAACAAGTGAAAGGTTATTTTTCCTAAAAAAAGTGTGTTATTTTAAGCAGGTAACATTTTGTTTGCACTTATCTGAACTAAGTAAATTTGTACATTAATTCCCTAGCTCTGTGTTGCTTTGTGGAATTATAAAACCTTTAAAAACTAATGCTAAAATACACATCTACTAACTTGAAAATGAAAATTTCCATGCTAAATGTTATGTGTGGAAATGATGGCTCCTAACCAAGGAATTTAGTTAACCCTTATCAGTTTCCTTTTAGATTAATGATTCTATGAGAGTTGGCTATTCCATTTTTTCTTTTTATGTCAAAGTGTTCAGTTCTCATTTGAGTATTCTCTGACAGTGAGATGGGTCTGATGCTTTTCAGCTGCTTATCGAGGAACCACGTTCTCTGGGGTTGGGTGACCCAGTACAAACACACGCGGGAAATGAAGGAGAAAGAAGCGCGACCGTTGGTGTTGAGTGCACACAGCAGTCTGTTAGCAGGCTGAACATCAAGGTTTATGAAGTTCAGTGGTCAGTATTGATAACTGAAGCCTTTACCAAGTGGCTTTTTTGAAGTGTAGCCTAAAGTCCAAAAGCACAAATGCTCTCTGGTTTGTTTACTTTGGCAGCTGAACTGGCATTTCCATTGTAGGTGTGATCAGTGTCGCTTGCACGGAAGTTAGTAGCGTGGTTAGTTCATAACCACGGAACGAGGCCGTAGCCGAGTGGCACTGATCTTCCTACGTGTCTGTCTTGACACTTATATTAAAACAAGGTCAACATTGTCTCTAGTTGAACGCATTCCCTGACATGCTGTGAGAGGCTGTCAACTCAGAGATAGAATGTGCCTACAGTATTTCATAAATGTTGCCCAAAATAGATGCCCCAACATGCAGAGTTTTTGTACCGTACGTGCTTGTTGGATTAGCCAGGGTCTGAGATTGAAAGGCAGGCATTGGTAAAGAGCTCAGCTCCACCACCTCTCCACAGATACTTCTCAGATCTTCTGTGTAGATTGTCATGTTGTATTTTGCAGCTGTATGATCACTGCATACAAAAGTAATTAGTTAACTTTTTTGTTTTCTGAAGGATGTAACAGAATAGTTGGGTTTTTTTTTTTAATTTCTTTTACTCCTACAAACATAAATCAGGCTATTGTCTACAAGAGGGGAAGGATTGGAACCAAAAAAACAATTTGGAAATGAAATGTTTTTCAGCTGCAAGTAATATTAATAGTAATTGCCACTTAGTGATCTTTCAGTGGGTAGAAACAAACCATCGAAATTATAATTGTAGGATTCATTGGGATTTAGGTTGATTAACAAACTAGACAACCAAGTGGGCATCATGCACTGAGCCAGAACTCTGGCTCATGTGAAGTCGGCAGAGCTTATCTGGAATCAGTGGAGCAAAGCCCGTTTTATTCCATTTGCCCAAAGAATAAACATATGCCATGTCAGAAATAGAACAGTTTGAAACAATTGCTGCATGGGATGATGATGGAAAATAGCTGGAGAAAAGATATAAGGGTGATTAGACTTCTTTAAAGGCAGACGGCTGACTTAAGGATGTAAATGAGGCCAGCACAGCATTATGGTGGAATCATCGTTGTACGCTGCAATGACATGAGGGTGCACTTGATAACCTATTTCTTAGCTCTCTTCATTAGGTGAAGAAATATATGTTTTAAATGGGAAAGAGAACCATTAAAGCTGCTCTTGAAATGAGCTGGTTTGAAAAACTGAGAGAATTTAACTTGATTTCCACTGGAGCTGAGGAAATTCAGTATTTGCAATTGCTAATCAGTTGAAATCCATTTTATTCTTTAAAATAATGTATTTTTATGTATTGGAAATGCAAAATTGAAAGTGTTCAGGGACTATATTATCTGCAAAGAAATTGTGAATCACTTTTGAATCACTGCTTTATAATCTTGCAACTCATTGCTTGATGGTTTGGTGTTTATTTCAAGGTTTTCATAATCTTAAATCTAGATTGTTCTGTTTCGTTGAAATGTGGAGCAATTGCAAAATAGCTGAACTAAGCTTAACATTAAGAAAGAACCTGTAATGAGGATGAAAAGCTAAATTACCTGTTTCTCCAAGTAAACTCACTCAAACAAATTCTTTTTATGTGGTTTGAGGGGGATACGTATGACCTATCCTGTGTGACAACCTGTAGCCTCTGTCACGTGACATAATTAAATTAAAATCAGATTTCCTTATCTCATAAAGAAAAAGTTCTTTCAGATCATTCATAAATTTTAAATGGGAGTCATATTGTAATCAGGAGCTAATCTTATTTTCCCATTATCTCCTGCCATTCTGTGATACGAGAACACTTTGTTCTCTATAAGAATCTTCACTCAGAGCTTTCGTTTCTCAGAGAAGTAATTAACTAGTAAAGATATTGGATATTCATAGACATCTTCACCCAAGGCAAGCAGGTGAACAAATCCCATACCCAAGGATGGGTTTCATTCCATCTTAACATTTTATGCCTCCTGCTCTTGCCTGAATGTACCTTGACAGTTCCTCTTACACATAGTTATTTAGATTCCAGAAATCTGGCTTCATGGAATTGCTCATCCCACGCTATATTTAACACTATGGGCTGTCTTAAACATTAAAAATTTATCATTGTGTAGAGGCTTTTGATTTTGAGATGTACATGTGTATCTCCTCTAATGCTGTTGTTGAGTTGATGTCTGCCTTTCTTCTGTGTCTTTGACAATCAGTTCTGCTTTCTTTCATCGACTTAGAGGTGGAATATTTGATTATAAGTTTTGTTTCCTCTGTAATTATATTTGTTTCAATGGGGGAAAAAAAAAGCCAAAACGTGCCATTCTAACTGTTGGTTTCCTTTTTCTTCCCAGTTTGCTGCTTTGTGGTTCACAAAAGATGCCATGAGTTTGTCACCTTCTCCTGCCCTGGGGCTGACAAGGGACCTGACACTGATGTAAGTACTTTGACATTCAATGTGGTGTTTTGCACAGTTTTGTGTTGTTACACCTAACTGTGGGAATGTGTTACCAGCAATATCAGTAGGCTCTTCAGGACGGATGGTTGTTGTCCTAGTGGGTTTTAACTGTTTGGAAGTGAACACTTGGGGACTTCAAAGATCTATTTTTGGTAAGACAAGTAACCATGATAGTGTAACCAAGATCAATATCCCTCAGAATGTGATGCTTCCGAGGTGTTTACCCAAGCATGAAGTCAGCTTTTTATTTTTGTTTGCTTTATTTTGGATGTATTTGATATTGACAGTTCTTAGGAAAGGCGGAAGCTTTTTCAGAGCTTTGTGTCTGTCTTATCTCAAGGCGTAACCAGAGCTGACTCTGGTCCTTGTCCTCTCTACACACAAGGATCTATAGCTCCAGACGGCAGTTTGATCGTGAGCCAGCTGGCTTATCTGAGAGAGGTTTTCAAAACAATTGCATTCGTGCTGGAGCTAGCATCCCAGTCAGGATACACCTCTCGCTCTGTCGGTACTTCTATATACGTGTAGCATTTTTGGTCAACAACTAGTTTTCACTTTCAAAGTTTCCCTTCATGATGACACACACATACAAGAATGTTGTGTTGCCCTGCTGAAAAAGTAAACTGATCTTGTTTGTTCACACAAAAATAACATTCCTTTGGGTTATATAAATTCCACTTTACAGTGAAGTAATTTAACATCTGCTTATGGGAACAATACATTCCAAGTGTTCTTTGTCTGAACGGCTCTGTTTTGTTTCTTATAACATATTCATGCTCTAGATTGTAGGCTATTATCTCCTCTGATGAAATGCACCATAGACTTCTCTTGCTAGGTTTTAATGAGCGTCTCATGAATTGTTTTAATATGCTAGCCGTGAGATCAGTGAACAATATATGGGCAGAAGCTGTGAGGGGTTTTAGAAAATTAGAGATATTAAGTTCTTCTTGTTTTTAAATTTAAGTACATGGAAATGTCGAAGAACTGTTTAAAAACAGGGTTTTTTGAACATCTCTCATAATCTAAATTTAGGTACCTAAGACAGATGTTGAAGTTAAGAGTGTAGTTACCCTATTCAGTTTCTTCTGTTTATCTGATAGTCGTTACCAGAGAGCAAACTGGGTACCCGCAGTGGTACCTGTGATGGCTTTCTCTGCTGGCTGCAGTGGGGGTTGAGCTGGGGCGAGATCGGACAGTCTTGTGGCAGCGAATGGAAGTTGGTGGCAGAATCACTGCTCTCCTCAGCATCCATCTCTTCTGACCTTTCCACCTGCCCCCTCCCCACTTACAGGGAGGCCTGACCTACAGGGCCTTTCCCCAGAGATAGCCTAGGTTCCATTACTGGTACTTTGCCAACCACTTACCACAGAAGCAGCTTCCCAGTACTTAAAACATCATTGCTAAAATCGACTGAATGATAATGAAAATGCAATTGTAACTGGAGCCTTTCTTTTCAGCTTTCCATCTTCTTCCATATTCAGTGCTGGTAACTCATGAAATGCTCTGTTATTTCATCTGTATCTCTATCTCCAGTGGACTTTTTCTCCCTGTTCACTTGCTTGCACTTAGCTCCTCAACTCAGATGTTCTTTCAGCATCTGCTGCTGTCCTGCTTACGTGTTACAGTGTAAGACCCATGATGCCCAAAAAGATCATTTGCTCCACCAGCGAGATTTGGAGTATCTAAGCTAAGAGCCCTGCTGTGTATGGATGCAGTCAGCAGAAATGAAGGACATCCATAGATCAAGGCAACGTGTAAGATTCAAGAAGTCAGGATTCAAGCACGGAGCAGTCACACTGATTGCCTGTGCAAAGAACACGGATACAGCCAGAGCTTCACTAAGGATGTTGAGGGACCGGGGCATAGGAGACTCCAGTGCAGCTGTGGTGCATTCCTCGGGAGTTCTGACAGTCACTCAGGGCTGCACATAAAATACTTCTGGGCACTTAGCGTAGAGCACAGCTTTCTTGAAGAAAGTCACTTAATTGAGCTGAGGTCAGTTTTTATGGCAGAAGTCGAAGAGACTTTTGGCACTAAGGTAGTAGTTGGAGCACTCTCTTGGAAGCTCATGCAGAGGCTTGCCGGCACTCACGGAGTGCCTGTAATGCAGGAAGGAAGCCGGTCCTCGGTCTGCCTTTGCTCACGGGGCTCCTTAGTGCATTTTACCAAAGGAGGCTGTATGAAAACAATCGTGAAGGCAGGAACAAGAACCAGGAATTATCCTTCATACCCTTCCTTTTCTGAAAGTTCTTGAACTTTTTAAGCTTTGAAGGGAAGTGTGAAGATTGGCTCTGCCTGTGTAGTTAAAGCAGTCTTTGGGAATTTAGACTTTGTGGATTTGAAGTGCCTTGAGCTACAGAAAGACTAAAAATTCAGGTCTCCCCTGTCCGGGTGAGTGTTCTTGTCACTACACTACCACACAGAAGGCAGGTGGCAATACCTGCTCCCCCCCACCTCCTCTTTCTAAAAGGTAGTAGCCATAGCTGCCATTTTTTGTTGCGGTCCAGGTGACTTTAGGGATAGCCGACCCATTTGCATCCCACTGGATGGCATTCGGGCGATTCTCTGAATTCCCCATGCACCTTCTCCACGGTGTACGTGGGCTGACGTTGCACCGTGCTCTCAGCTACGGGACCTGCTTTCCTGAAGTTCTGACCTGCAGTTTATTAGGCAAAAAGGATCTATCAGGTGAGTTCCCGTTATTACCAAACTCAGTAAAGGTCCCCGTTACAGACAGTGCTGGATTGATCCCGATGCCTGCGTCTGTGGAGCAGCACTCAGGCCGGGGGAAATGCAGTTTCACTCGTGTCGACGGCAAAGTCGACCCCATCTGTTGGTGTCAGAGGGGCCAGAACATCAGCATCAGTCTGAACAATTAAACACTCTGCAATTACTCGTCCTCTAAATATCGTTCATAAATGCATTGTTGATTGGCTTTGGGTAGTCTGAAAACACAAGAATAAAACAATCAAATCCAGTTTTATCTTAGTGCTTAGTCATGATATAAGATGATAACGAAAGTTATTGTTAATTGACAATTTATTGGTGACACTCATGAGGTTTTCTATATCTGTAATGGATGCTTTCACTCTTCAAAGTGTTCTTAATTTTTTTTTTTTTAAACACGGGTTCTTCAGGGTTTTTCTCCTGAAGTTCGTAAATGAGAGCACATATTTGTGTGGGAGGCCGTTTAATTTTATCAAGAATCTCTTCATGGCTATAGAATCTGTTATGTGGCAGGTTGTTAATAGTCTTTGATATTGCTGACTGCATTTCGTGATTTGGTTTTTTTGGCCTTGGTGATTAAATAAATCAGCCTAATGCCTTATTTTAGTATTTGGGTTACCAAATGATAATTTTCAATATTTACACAGAAGCCATATCTCAAAAACATTTTAAAGATTAAAAGCAAACAGAAAATAAATATGTTTTATTAAAATTGTGCTACATTAGTGGGTTTTATTACACAAAGAGGATTGTAGCATGTGATACTTTAATTTACTGAAATGTTTGACTATAATGTCTACCCTTTTACAATTCAGTAACTTATTCCTGAGATAGTACAATCTGTTAGTACTAGCTATAAGTACATTTTTTTTCTGAAATGCAGCATGCTATGAAGCTTATCATAATATTTAGCAGATTTTTCAATATTAAAAAGTCTTTTTCTAAATTATTTCAGGCAGGTGCACAATTAATTTGCATACTTAAATTTGCCTGTGTCTTTGCATGGTGTAACCTTTCCATTAATTGTAAGAGTAATATTGCAATTAATAAAATTAATTTTTCTAGAGTAATAATTATAAATTATGATAATTGTGTACTGTAATATTTATTACATGTTACAATAAGTTTAAATCATCGTGCACTGTACTTTTAGCATAAAGGAAGCAATCCTTACAAATACATCATTAGAGTAATTGTGGGTTAGGTTTGTTTTATTTAATAAGGAGGATCCAAAGTGTAACAGTCAGGTGCCCCACAGTGGGTGACGGTCAAGGTTAGAATGCAAAGCGTTTCAGTATATAAAACATTTCCCACTCAGAAACACAACAGCCTTTACCAGCCAGGGAGGCATTTCTTGCAGGCGGCTCCTGCAGGTGAGTGTTCCCAAACATCCCTGCTGGGCCCTGCGCTATCTGGGACATGATGGCAAGGACTTATTTATAGACTTGGCTCGAGGCGAGGTAGTATGGCACTCACACTACACCCCTCAGGGGATCCAGAGGGTTTCTGAGCAGAGGGGTTTACCAGTCGGTTAGCAACCTGGCTCCCAAAGGGAGGGAACCCATGATTTTTAGAAATGTCACTCTTATTTCCATGGAAGCTAAATGTGTACCTGGGGCTGAAGGGGGAGGTCAAGGCATATGTTTAAAATAATGCTCTTTCGAAACAGAGAATTCAACCACTTTAAAAATAAATTGTGTACAGAGAGATTTCTGTCATGTAGTTATTTTCAAAGCTCTGTGAACATCTTTTGGCTGCGGCGATCCCCTGCAGGAAGGGGGAGATCCACGGGCAGGATCCGTGATTTCCCTAAATCTCTAACAGTTGCAAGAGAAGTTATTTTTTAACTTCTGGATATTTAGATACAGTCACAACAACGAAAGAGATTTCAGACTGTACTACCCACAGACCTTTCCTTATTTCCTAGCCTTTCTTGCAAGCAATCTAACTATTTAATAAACTTTGAGTACTCAGCTGTTTAAAAGGCCTGTGGTCTGTATCATGTTAAAAATAGTGGTGTACAAATACTGTCTCCTCCTGTAACACTGTTTGCTACAGTATTCTATTGCTGGAAAACGGGATAAATTATGGTTTTATTACTTTAAAATTAAATGCCTTAATAAAGGTGATTGTAAAAGAGAGAAAAGCTTAAAATCACCCTCTTTTGGTTTACTGAGATGAGCTGAAACGTGAGGTTGAAAGGCCTGTGTTTGTGCCAAAAGGAAAATAACACTTGTGAATAAAGTGGTTGT